TTTGAACTCAGGGCCTCACCCTTCAATGCTGCTACCACTTGAACCACACCCTCCATGTGCACCTACCACGCATGTTTAGAAATGGCTTTCTTCTTCCAGGTGGGAAAGTTGTTCTGGTGATGAAAGGCTAAATGGGTCTTCTATGAGGAACAGTGTGCATTTTGACAGAGACCTTCCAGAATTTGGGTATGTACCTGGTGGGCATGTGTGGCGGGGGAGGACTACTGCCATCCTGGTGGTTTTGGGATACTCCCCAAACCTTTCACATTGATAAACTACGCTGTTTTAGCTTTGCCAAAGTACAGGGGTGGTAGACCTCTATGTTCAGGTAGACCTCTGACATCTGAACTTTTATTTTATTTTTGCAACATTGGAGTTCGAATTCTGGGCCTCGTGCTTGCTAAGCAGACACTCTTACTGCTTGAGCCACTCTGCCAACCCTTTTTTTGTGAGGGTTTTTTTCTAGATTAGGGTCTCAAGAACTGCTTGCCTAGGGCTAGCTTCAAACTCGATCTCTGCCTCCTGAATAGCTAGGATTACCGTACCAGTCAGTACCCAGCTGCTCTGAACATTTTTTTTTTTCTATACCTGGAATGCTTTTTCTACCATTCCTTCCCAATTCTGTTCATGCATTCACACATTTATTTATACATTTGATATCTGCTATGTAACAGCGCTGTGCTGGGTGCTAGAATTCGATGATTGATATTACTCCTCTCTCTCCCTCTCTCCTTCCCTCCCTCCCTGTCTTAGTGTATATTAATTGTAACGGGGTTTCACTTTGATATTTCCAAACTTGTATACACTGTGCTCTGTGATCACATTCACCCCCTCTATTATTCTTATCTCCCTCCCCCCTTTTGGAAAACAATTTTTAACAGGTTTTCATTGTTCTATTTTCATGCCTGTGTATGAAGTACTTCAATCAAATACACCACCCCTCCCCTCTCCTTTCACCCACCCTCTATATTAGTCTGTTTTCTGTTGTTAGTAACATAGTACCACAGAGTGGGTAAGTTATAAAGGGAAAAAGTTTATTTTGGCTTATGGTTCTGGCCAAAGGTCTAGGGTCCACATCTGGCGGTAGGCTTTCTTGCTTTCAGAATCCTGAGGTAGCAAAGGGCACATGATGGGAGGTAGCAGTGTACGTGTGCATGTGCACGCTGCCAGTGTGCGTTTGTGGGTGCGTGTGTCTTCTCTGTTAGCCCTCTTTGTTTTCTTTTTGTGCTGGATCAAACTCAAGGCCTTGCACGGGCTAAGCACTCGCTCTGCCACTGCTACAGCCTCCACCTCTCCCTCCTTTTAAAGCTGCCCGTTTTCAATCATGGGGGCTCAACCCTGTGGACTGTATCTAAGTCTAATTACCTCCCAAAGGCCTCTCCTCTCGATACCAGTGGCAGATGAAGTTCCCTCTCTACCTCACAATGGAGATTAAATCCCAAGATTTAATAAACTATGTGTTGTGTGCTTAACCAAGAGAGGGTGGTTCTCGTTCTCCCAGAGCTTCCTGTTGGGTAGGGAGACTGATACTTCTTTTTTGTTGTTTGTTGTTTGTTTGGTTGGTTTTTTTGAGACATGGTCTCACTGTGTGACCCAAGCTGGCCTGGAACTCATGTAGCTCAGTGTGGCCTCAACTGGTGATCTTCCTTTCTCAGTCTCCCTGAGACTGGGAGACTGGTATTAATAAAAGAATCTCATAGTGATGGGAATAGCTCATGGTAGAGAGTGTGGGCATAGCATAACATATTCATTTCTTCCTTGCCCCTCATTTTGTTGTGATTTTTTTATAACATTATTAAAGTGCAATTGATGTACAACAAAATATACATTTTGCTGGGCATGGTGGTGTATGGTTATAATCCCAGCACTTGGAAGACTGAGGTAGGAGGATTGAAAGTTCAAGGCCAGCCTGGGCTACATAGCAAGACCCTGCATCAAAATCAAAACAAAATAAGTATACGTTTTGATAAGTTTTGACATATATATTTTTCCACAAAACTATCAGCAAAATCATATCATCATCCCATAAAAATTAGTGCCTTGTGGCTCATACTGTAATCCTAGCTACCTGAGAGGCTGAGACCTGGAAGAGCAACAGTTTCAGGCCAGCCTAGAGACATAGTTTGTGAGACGCCCCCCATCTCCAAAATAACCAGAGCAAAATGGAGGAGGTGTGGCTCAAGTGGTAGAATGCCTACTTTGCAAGTGAGAAGCCCTGAATTCAAATCCTAGTCCCACCAAAAAAAAAATTTCCTCACACCTCTTTGTAATCCATTCCTCCTTCTGCATTCCCTAACCCCAGCAACATCTGACTGATACTGTTTTTTTTTTTTTGTTGTGTATGTGTTATTTTGAGATAAAGGCTTACTTTATGTCCAGGATGGCATGGACTGTGCTTCCTCAAGTAGTTGGAATAACAGGCACACACCACCACACCCAGCTATTCTTAGGTGGGTCTCTTGAACTTTTTGCCTGACTGGCATGGAACTATGAACCACCACACTCACAGCCTCAGTGAAAAATCTTAATCCTATCTGTGACTTCATCTCCCTGTCCTGCTCTCCTCTACAGATTACTTCTTTAGTACATGTATATCCTTCTTAGTGTTTCTATTTAGAAGTTTAAGCAGCTATGAATACTTTTATTTACCTCCAAATATGAAAAGCACACTGTACACACCATTGTGGTTTTTTTTTTTTTTTTTTGCTTTATTCACTTCACAATAACCTGGCTACATTTCCATTTCCATGACAGTAGATAAGATCTTTCTGTTTTTTGTTTTTCGGTACTTGAGCCACTCCACCAGCCCTTTTTTTTGTGTTGGGTTTTTTCAAGGTAGGATCTCAATAAGTATTTCCCCGGGCTGGCTTTGAACCATGATCCTCCTGATCTCTGCCTCCTGAGTAGCTAGGATTACAGGCGTGAGCTGCTGGTGCCTGGCAATGGTTGGGTTTTATCAAGTCAGCACTTTCCAGGGGGGTCTTCTGGGGTGAGGAGGATAAGTATGACGGCTCTGGAACCTTCCAGGATTTGTAGTTCAAGGACTCCCTGGGCTGCTTTGATGGTGAGAATTTCTTCCTGTAGACACAACACCTCTATGTAGCTATTGGTTCTGTACTTCTCCAAGCCCATGGGGCTTCAGGTGGATTTGAGCCCAGTTCCACACTTCTCCAGTTCCTTCATGGCCCCTGCACCTGGTGACATCAATCCTGCCTTCAGGCTGAGCCCTCTTCTCCTAGAAGACTTGCTGAGAATTGCCCCTTTTGGACCACTCTGAGCCATTCTGTGCCTTCTCTTTCCATCTTACCATCATAGCAGCACTCATGCCTGGTCATTCCACAGCCCCTACCCAAGGCTGGGGGGAGGTTCTTCTTCAGAGGAGGCTCCAGCCTGTGCTACCACAGCAGAGGTGTGCCCTGCCACACTTTCTCCTGCTCTCTCTGCAGGACTCAAGGTGGTGTTCATGTGCATGAGGACAGGCTGACCATCACCTCTCCAGTCCTGATGTGGGTCCAGGTAAGCATGTGGATCCCTTCCTTCTCTCCCTAGCCTGTGTCACTGGTAAATTTGGTGATTTGCTAGGAAGCCCCAAGATGGCAGCTGCTGAGACCAGATCCTCACAGATAAGGGAGTCTCTGTGGTTTTGGGGACAGACGAGTGTCAGCTGGTATCAGTCCTCAGGTTGAGAGGATTCACAAAGGGCTTGCAGGTACTGGAAACATGATGGCTGGCATGTACTGCCAGTTCCATCTTTAAAATGCCACAGAGCCAGGCTTTCCAGACACTCTGCAGTCAGGTCCTTGTGGGACCTTGAATTCCAAACACAGCCCTTGGAGTCTTAGTTGTCAGCTCTTGGGACCCCTCAGCCCAGGGTATGGGCACTCAGAATGGTGAGTTACCAGGCTCGGATCAGTCCCAAGCCAGGCCTGCCTAATTAGGACTAATAAGAAAGGAAGATGCCCAACAAACTATAGGGCCAGGGATGTGGTCAGCACAGATGGGCATGATAGGAGTGGAACTTCCTCATATGTCACAGGGGTTAGAGTCCCTGGAGCTGGAAGCTAGCCAAAGGCAGCACTTAGTATATCTGTTAAAAGCCTTTCTCAGTCCTCCAATACCTATTTAATCAACTCCTGTATTATTACTATTTTTTCTTTCGACATACTTGCTAGGCAGGTACACTACCACTTGAGCCACTCTCCCAGCCCTGTTTTTTGTGTTGGGTATTTTTGGGATAGGCTTTCTCAAACTCTTTGCCCAGGGGTGTCTTTGAAACGCAATCCTCCTGATCTCTGCTTCCTGAGTAGCTAGGATTATAGGTGTGAGCTCTATAGTACCTGGCTCTGTGTTAAATTCTTTCTGTTAAAAATAATTAGCATGATTTATTTTTTCTTGACTTTCTGTGACTTATACATTGGAGGATTGGGGTAAAGACTGGATTTCAACCATAGACTGGTGGGAATGTACTTCAAAGTGCTGAGCAGACCAAGGGAGGTAATAAGGGGTTAGAAGCAAGGGTCATTGTCAAGAGGTCGCAGAGATGAAGTTAAAAACATCTGATAGGGCATGGCCTTCATTTGGGAAAGCAAGCAGGGAGTGAGACATCCAGGCTTGAGTGTGCAACCACGGTGATTTCTGATCTCAAGCAGCCTCCAAGGCTGGACCTGTTCTAGACTTTGCCAATTGCTGCCCAAGGTCTGACAAGCAGGGAAAGCTGGCAGCACAGTTGGGGCTGGAAGGAGTGATCTCAGCATAGGGTTGGGATGGTGGAGTCGGGCAAAAGCTGGAATGATGTCTATCCCTCAGAGGAGACACAGCTGGGGTGAAGTTCTAATTCCTACCATGAATTCTTAGAGGCAGTGCCAAGCAAGCTCTGCTAGGTACTCCCATCAATCCCACCCATGGGTCTTGCCAGAAAGAAGCTTCTGACTAGATAATAGAGGATGGAATGGGAACTTGAGACAAATGGCCACCATCTCCATCCACTCCTTCAACCTGGGCTCCTGGACACAGGGAGCTGGGCCTGGAACTCTACTTGGATAATTCTGCTTGCTCTTCTTTTCTCTGTTGCAGTCCAGTTGAATCATTAATATGGTGTGTTGAAAATGCAACTAAAAGAAAGCAGAATTTTAACTGCTTTTGTTTTTGTTCTTCCTAAGTACTTGGAAGTCACAATTCAGAGAAGCAACATTTGAGGATTAGTGAATTTAAATCCCATATTGAAAGTATTTTTAGCATAGTTGATCTTTTTATTTAATTGATGTCTACTTGTTTAATTAGCGTATACCAGTACATACAGATCCTGTTGACAGGACCGTCCTCATCTGCCCACAGTCCTTACTGTCACAGCAGGCATGTGCATTTCCACATTGAGACTTGTGGCTTACCTCATTCAGCGGTTCAGGCCAGTCATGGTGGATTCTGTTCTTCTCAGGCGCTGGATGTCATCTTGGAGAAGATGAAGGCTTCTGGCTTTGACTTCTCTCAAGTCCTAGCCTTGTCCGGGGCAGGCCAGGTTTGTCTGCAGCAGAGCCCCTGCTCACCTCCTGAGAGTGGGTGTCTCAGTAGTGGGGATCATGCTGAGGAGCACATGTTGATTTGGTAGTGAAAATGCCTTCAGCTGTTTGACCTTGGGGTCATACAACTGGCCTCCTCGCAAAAGACTCTTGAAATGGTTCTTAAGATTCCGCTGGTTCAGTCTCCTGTGTTCCCACAGTCTGTCACTGCAGCTCTTCAACATTTTGTGATTGTATGTTCATATCTTTTTCCCTGACTTAACTCCCTTGTCCTGAAAAATAGAGTCAGTAATACCCTTCTGGTATTACTAAGCACCATCTAGGTGCTTAGTAAATGTTTTTTGAATGAATGAATGGGGTGAGTGAATTTCAGTTGATATTGCAAGCAATAAATACAGATTGACAAAAGGCACCAAGATCCAGACCAAGAAAACTTTCTTGAACAAGTTTTCCTCCCCATTTGATAGAAATGAAAACCAAGCCTTATAAAGGTGATGAGGTCTGTGATTAAGAGGTGGCAGGGGCAGGCTTAGTGCCCGGCTCTTTGGCTTGTGGCCCAGGGTTTTTCTGTGTGTCAGGATGATATGACACCAGTGTGGCACATGAACATGTGCTTGATTTTACCCTCTACAGCAACACGGAAGCATATATTGGAAGACTGGGGCCAATCTGGCACTGACAAGCCTGTCACCAGACCTCCCGCTATACCAGCAGCTACAGGTAACTGTGGCCATGTTTTGTGAGTTAGAAAAACTTCTGCAGAGGAGGCAGAAGAGTCATGGGTGCAAGTCCTGTGGGTCCTGAAGTCTGGGGTTTTTATGCATTGTTGAGGGTGTGAGAGGTTCCGTCAGCACGGTGTGCGTTGCTTCCCTAAGATGGAGTTCCCTGGTGTCTGGACAAAGGGTCAGGCACTAGTGATCCTCATCACATTAGTCCCTTCTCAGAATGACTGTGGACCATACCCCCAACCCCACCCCCAGGAACCTCCCCTTGGTACCTGAAGCCCCATAGTGATGCTGGGAAGGCAGGGGCTCTGACTTGCCTTTATCTCCTGGGTTCCCCAATCCCCTGCCAAACCTGCACTTTGCTGCTGTCCCCCATCTCTGCTCATCTGTAGTGCTGTCTGTTGGACTCAGGCACCCTCACCAGAAGAGCTTTTTACCCTCAGGCTTCCGGGGAGAGACCGCATTGGGCCAGGCTGAGGGCTTGCCTTGGGACCGCCTAGGGTGCACCCTGGGAAGAGTGCTGCACCTGCTGTGATGGGCTGTCTGACTGCCAGCAGTGGCTCCCCATTGGACTTAGCTGTAGCCTGTACCTTTGTCCCTTCTTTCCAGACCTGTTTCTCCATCAGTGACTGCCCAGTGTGGATGGACTCCAGCACCACAATCCAGTGCCGCCAACTGGAAGCTGCTGTGGGTGGGGCCCAGGCTCTCAGCTGCCTCACAGGGTCCCGTGCCTATGAGGTGGGCAGCCACCTGTGTGGGCTGGGGACTAGGGCTGGTCTCTTCCCCCTGGGCGTCTGGAAGGATGTGGTGAGCAACCAGCCTCTGGGAAGGTCACATGTGCCAGAACTGGGCACGCTGGCCCATGGGTCCTGATTCAGCTACCTACCTCCTTGGGTGCTTGTCAGTGAAGGGCAAACTTCTCCCATGTGGTCCCAGGTCAGAACTACATAAGCATGGCTAGGCTCCTCGCGTTGAGCTTCTGTGTGGGGGTGATGAGGCCACCTCAGTTTCAAGCTATAACCTGAGAATAACAATGGGACTTTTGAAACTGAAAAGAGTCAGAGCATCTAAGACTCTTAATGCAGTGCCAGGCTACTTCAGCCACAGTCCCAAGGGTGGCTGTGATTGGCCAGCTTCAGTTACATGACCCCCACCAAAGTATAGCTTTTGGAGGTAGGGCCAGCCCTGCATAGACCACCTGACATAAGACAGAGTGGGTGGGGAGAGTTCCTCAGTCCCCCAGCTCTGGTGCCTTGCTCAGAACAGTCATCAGACTATGTAAAGAGCAAGGGTTTCTTGTAAAGGCATTTCCAGTCCTGGCACAAGAGGCCCTCCTGGGAAGTCTCAGAAGTTTCTTCTGTATTCTTTAGGTGCAGAACAACTGTTTATATTGCCTGCCAAGGACATTTTAAGGAGTCAAGGGTCAAAACACGTTGCCTTGAATGTTCAGCAGATCTTAAGCATTTCTAGATTTGGGGACCTTATAAAAACTGTTGTTGTATCACCTAATTCCTGGAGCATGCTACGATAAATTCACTTATAGACTTGATTATTCATTTTGTGTAGCATTTGGGTTTCTAAGAATTTGCACTCTTCTTTCCAGCGTTTCACAGGAAACCAAATTGCAAAGATTCACCAGCAGAACCCCCAGGCCTACTCACACACGGAGGTTGGTTCAATGTTTATATTTGATTGAAAGTCACAGTTGAATTGCTTTTATAATTCTTACCTTTAGCATAAACACATCTTGTGTGCATTGGCTAAGACCTTTGATGAGTAGGCATTAAAAAGTGATACACGGGGTAGGGGTACAGCTCAGTGGAAGAGGCCCTGGTTTCCATCATCAGCACCAGGAAGAAAAAAAAAGAATGTGATATACAGTCATGTGCTGTATGGCAGTGTTTCAGTCAACAACTATGATCCCGTAAGATTGTAGTGGGGTCTGCTGGGAAGGTAGCTAAGTGGTAGAGTGCTTAACTAGCACACTCAAGGCCCTGAGTTCAATCCCCAAAATTGCAAATAATAATATATAGTGGAGCTGGGCATGGTGGTACACATCTGTAATCCCAGTGCTTGGGAGTCTGAGGCAGGAAGATTGCAAGCTCAAGGCCAACCTATCTTAAAAATAAAAAGATTATAGGGAGATGGGGTGAAGGTGCAGCTCAGTAGTAGAGCACTTGCCTAGCACGTGCATGGTCCTGGGTTCCAGCGCTACACAAAAAAGGAGGGAGGGAAGGAGAGAGGGAGGGGAATATAGTGGAGCTGAACCCAATTCCTGTTGCCTAAGGGCATCATAGGTGTCCTGATGTCATATGGGGTATTACTCATGATACTGGTAAAAGTAAACCTACTGTGCTACTATATGAGTATTTCTTTTTCTTTTCTTTTTTTGGGTTTCTAGTGCTGGTTTTTCCTGAAGATATCAAAATTGCTCATATAAGTATATAAAAGCAAAAAATTATCTGTATATTTTCTATGTTTAGATATGTTAAGGTACACAAATACGACTGTTTTACAGTTGCCTACAGTATTCAGTTCAGTAATACGCTGACAGGTTTATAGCCATGGAACAATATGCTTGCATAAATACGCTGAATTTTTTTTTTCTTTTTTGAAACAGGGTCTTGCTATGTAGCCCATTCCCTCTCTGGTCTTTGGAAGCAGTCTGACAATGAGAAAAAAACCAAATTGTATACAGTTATGCATTGCTTAATGATTGGGTTACATTTCGTAACTGTTTCCAAAGAGGAGAGAGGGAATAGAATTTTGGGAAAGAGAAATCAGGGACTCTCATGACCTGAGGGTTGAGGGTCAGGGTCAGGGTGGGAGTGGTGGAGGCTGGTGTTTTCCTGAGTGGCGATTATAGGTCATGATATGAGTGTGCTCTGGGCTCTGTCCTTTGTGGATGATGTGATGGCTACTAGACAGTTGGCATGGTGGGCTTGTCTTTGGAACTAGATAAGGGCAGCTGCAGCCTTTCAACCAGAGACTATGTCACAGGATCCCAAACTCACTTAGCACTTAAAATATCCTGAGAAGTAGCTCCAGTGATTTCCATCTAGTAGTAAGAAAATGACCAGCTCATGTTAAACCAAAGTGCCTTTCTAATCTTGGAAATCAATGTGCAGGTTATTATTTAAAGATGCAAAGTTCCAGATTACTCTGCAGCATAAGCCATTGAGGAATGAAAAACTCCCCAAATTTTGCTCAAGTTTCTTCTTTCCTCCCTAGTTTAAAGCTCTCTGATCAGGCACTGGTGGCTCACGCCTATAATCCTAGCTACCTAAAAGACTGAGATTGGGAGGATTGAGGTTTGAAGCAGCCCCCAAAAAAGTAAAATTAACAAAAAATAAAGCTCTATTCATGGTGTGTGTGTCTGTGTGTGTATCTGTGTATGTATACGTGTATATGTGCATGTATGTGTGTGTGTGTGTATGTGTATGTGTGTGGGTGTGTGTGGGTGTGTATATGTGTGTGTGTGTGTATGTGTATATGTATATGTGTGTGTGTGTGTGTGTATGTGTGTGTGTGGTGTAGTGTTTGGTAGCTTAGGCTGTGGGGTGAATCATCTCTGTTTGTTTTGCAGAGAATTTCTTTGGTCAGTAGCTTTGCTGCCTCCTTGTTCCTTGGCTGTTACTCCCCCATTGACTACAGTGATGGTGAGTCTTCAGAGTGTAGGGCTGGTGCTTGCTCCACATGTGGAGGGAATTTGGCCAAGTGGGCAGTGAGAGCTCCATCCACCTGAGTAGGGGCCACTCTTGCAGCTCTCTCATCATTTGCCCAGAAGTACATTAGTTATCTTTTACTGTGTAACAAATGACCCCAACACTTTGCAGCTGAAGGCTGTATATATTTATGTGCTCACAATACATCTTAGAGTCAGGAAATGTGGGAATGAGTGATCTGAGTGGTGCTTGCTCAGAATCTCTACCTGGGTGGCAGGCAAGTTGGCTGTCAGGGCTGTAGCCAACTGAAGACTCGACTGGGGCTGGAGGATCCTGCATGTGACTGTTGGCAGGAGACCAACTGTCTGGACCTCTCTGTAGGGGTATTAATGCCATTGTGGGGAGGGAGTAAGGCAGTGAGAAGAGATGAAGAAGAAGCTGCAGAGTCTTATACACTAATCTTGGATCATCCTTCTGGTCACACTGACTGACCCAGTACAGTGTTGGGAAGAACCTCCCAAGGTATGAACATCAGAAAGCAGGGACTATCTTAGAGCCCAACTACTACAAAGGGCTACTTATTGAAGCTTTTGTTCATGTTTGGCAAACTCATAAGACTTGTGAACTTTTAGCATCAAAACTCTGACAAAGCTAGGTGCTGGTGGCTTCACGCCTGTAATCCTAACTATTTGTGAGGATCGAGGTTTGAGGCCAACTCGACAAATACTTCATGAGACCCCATCTTCAAAGTAACCAGAACAAAAGCGACTGAAGGTGTGGCTCAAGCAGTAGAGCATCTGCTTTACAAGCATGAAGCCATGAGTTCAATCCCCAGTCCCACACACACACAAAAAAACAAACAAACTGACAAAGACAGGTGTGGTGCACACCTGTAATACCTATAATGCTCAGGAGGCTGAGACAGGAGGATATAAGTTTGAGATCAGCCAGGGCTACCGAGTGAGACCCTATCTCAAAAAAAGAAAAAAAAAAAAAACAAAGGAAAAAAACTTTGACAAAAAAAAAAAGAAAGTGATGGCAGCAAGGAGGGAAGGCAGGGACGAAGTTGCTGAAAGCACTCTTCATAACACACCAGCTGTCTACCCTCTCCAGAGCACATGACACCTTCATTCAGCCCCTTGGCCTCCTTGGTCCAACAGAGGGGGAGGTCCCTCACTGTGCTCTGGGCTCTCTGGCCTTTCCCATCCTCTGAGAAGCTCTGGGAAAAGTAGACTGTTTTAAGAAAGACGTAGTGAACCAATCTCAGTGACTAGCACAAGGATGTTTGTAAGAATCTGGAACTTTTCAAGGCTTTTCCTTGAGATTGGGAAATCCCCGTGGCTGATCCATATCAGCACCAGTGCTGCCTATGAGTAGATGCCTTGAAACCCAAGGGTCATGCAGAGAGAGTCCCAGTCAGCACATTCCTGGCAGGTCTTACAGCGGATTTCCAGGCTACCTATGGAGTATACAGTCTGTGAGGGAGAGGGGCTCCATGTGCTTCCAAGGGCCCTCTCTCTGGTCCTTGGGTTCAAGGATGATGCAGCATATTACCTATCTCCTTTGAAGAAAGAGTCCCAGGTAGAAGTTTGCTGCAGAGTTTGCTCTCTGCCAGTTTTGTATATTTTCACAAAAGGTCCTTTTTCCAGACTTTTTATTTTTTGTTTCTTTCCTTCTTCAGGTTCTGGAATGAATTTGTTGCAGATCCAGGACAAGGTCTGGTCCCAGCCTTGCCTTAGTGCCTGTGCCCCTCATTTAGAGGAGAAGCTCGGCCCACTGGTCCCACCATGCTCAGTTGTGGTAGGTCAGTCCCCTTTCTACAGATGCTGGTGCCGGGGGAGAGCAAGCTAGTGTGCACGCACACATCCTCACTCATTAGTTTGCACAGGAGATATAACATAGTTTTCACCTTACTCAAATATCAGTGTTTGACATTGATCAAAGTAAAGTATCTGGATGAATGCCTTGCACACAGCGGGGCTCAGGTGCATAGTTTCCTGACTTGTGGCAGGGAGACTTCTGAGTAATTGCATACCTAAGGAAAAATGCACAGAATGCCAAAATCCCAAGACCAGGCACCAGTGCTGAAGCTTGAGGCAGGCAGGCTTGGGAAAATAGAAGCCTGACAGAGCCTGGCAGAGCACAGACCCTGTCACCACACTGCCTGAGACAGTCCTGGCTGCCTCTGTTTAATCTGAGCCTCAATTTCCTCATCTGGCACAATGGGAGTAATTCAATTACAGGGCTATTGTGCAAATTAGATGAGTCATAACAGGTTGAAAATGCTTAAGATAGTGTCTGGTCACACTGGTGAATTAAAGGCACTTTGTTTTGGCAACACTGGGGTTGCCAAATAACCAGGAAGATGGCTATTGTGATGAGTACTCCCCACTGGGAAGCTCAGGTACAGTATTACTTTTTTGTTTTGTTTTGTTTGGTGGTACTCAGGGTCTTGAGCTTGCTAGGTAGGCACTTTACACTTAAGCCTCACCTCCAGCCCAGCAGCACTTTTCTTATAAGATTTTTCACTGCCATGCTGAAACCTCCCTTTGCTGCCATGAGTTTCAAGGCCAAACCACCATCATACAAACCACCTCATGACATCATGAGGTCAGTGCACAGAGCCAAAGGAAGAATGATCCTGCCCAGAGAAGCTGACAGTACAAAACCCGAATACAAGGACACTGCAAGTCAAAAAGCAGAAGGGCAAACAAAACAGCCACGCCTCCTGAGATGGGTATTCATTCCATGTGTGGTCTTTGGCTTCATGCGAAATTGAGAGCAATGCTTTGTTCAGGTTAGCAGGCTTTGTTTGCCTTCCACCAAGAGTGCTTGCCTCCAAGAAGGAGCCTGTACAGAGACAAGCTGTGGAAGAACTGGAAAGAACTGGTCCTGAAAAAGTGCATTTTCATTGGTCACCTATGCACCACAAGATGGGGGAGAAGCCAGCCATTATGGCTTTGTGCAGGGGTCACCTGGCAGCTACTTGCCTGAGCTGCATCTCCTTACTTTCTATGGTGGAGCTTCTCAGACTCCGTGTTTGTATTCTTTGAACCTGGAGGTCACCTGTCACCCGACGGGTGAGGGAGCCTGGGGTGGATAACTACTTCCCTCTCCTGTCCTCAGGTGGACAGTCCTTATCCAGTCCCCTCTCTCAGAGGATCCTCTGTGACTTGAGCCCCAGTTGCCCAGCCATGACCAGCTCAGCTCATCAAGGCACCCTTGGGCTGGCTTGCCCTCTTCCTGCTATCCTTCCCAGTTTTCCACTCCTGTCTCCTGGGATCGCTTCCTGAAATATACCAACTGCCTACCAGCCCTGTCTCAGTCTCTGGTTTCTGAAGCAACCTAGGGGATGACTTGTTCTATAAAAATCTAAACTTTTTCTGACTGGAGCAAAAATTTACTCCCAGATACCAGGAAATCCTATCATTTATTTTGAGTTTTCAGAAGTCAGATGCAGTCAGGGAAAAGGAAAAAAGTTTTCTTTTTAGAACTGCTTTCTAAAGGATATGAGGCCAGTCATAGAAGTGCATGCCTATAATGTCAATCCTAGCTATTCAGGCGGCAGAGATCAGAGGATCTTGATTCCTGGGCAAAAATGAAAGATCCTGTTTTTAAAAAACAAAACAAACAAACACGAAAACTTAAGAAAAAAGTGGGAGTAGCTCAAGTGGTAGAGCACTTGCCTAGCAATAACAAGACCTTGAGTTCAAAACACCAGTACCACACAAAAATAAATAAGTCATAATAGAAAAGTAAATAAGTCAGAAATATGTTGGGGGGTGAGGAGTCCTGTGCTCTGATCCCACATCCTCTCCTGGAGGGGTGCGGGGGAGGCCTGTGATGCCCAAATAGGTCCTTTTCCTCCACACTGCCATTTCTTTCTTTCTGTTTTTTTTGGCAGTACTGGGGATTGAACTCAGGGCCTTGTTCTTGCTAGGCAAGTGCTCTGCCACTTGAGCCCCACCCCTAGTCTGGTTTATTTTTAGAACATTGTTCTCTGCACTTGCATGTCTGATTATTCTTAATCACTGGAATGATAACAAGTGTGTAAGGCGTTATTTACACATTTGAGTTTATTTAATGATATCCTGTTACTTTTTTCTCCAATGCTATCTGCAGAGTTTAGAGCTGACAAAGTAGGTACAAAGTGGGAGTTGTTTTGTTCTAGCTGCCCTGAGTCTCCGTGTCAAATGGTCTTTAGGGTGGTCTCAAGTTTAGGGTTCCAAACCTGAACAGGAGGGATTGCCTGGTGTGCAGCAGGGAGAGGTCCACATTCAGGCTCTGCCAAAGGTTCCTTCAGCTCCAGTGGCCTGGAGCCGGGGGCATCCCCATGGGCTGCTGTGTGGAAGATCCCTTCCATTCCACTGACCTGGACAGCCTGGAGCATGCCCACAGCTTGAGGTCTGCAAGGCTGCGCTGAGCAGGCTGGAATTTCCTCAACAATTACTTTTTCCCCTCAGGGAGCCATTTCTTCTACTATGTCCAGCGTATGGATTTCCTCCTGGTTGCAAAGTGGTGGCCTTCACTGGGACAACCCAGGTGAGTGTCTTGGAGGACTTTTGTCTCCAAGTGGACTGATGTTGCTCATGCTGGACTTTCGAGAATTCCAATCCAGCTTCTTGGTAAAGCCCTTTTTGTGATGTCCCCTTTTCTTTCTGCTCCTACTTGGCCCTGACCACCCTCAGGAACCACTCTGCCTGGCATCTACTCTCTAGGTAAAAGCCAATGGGTGATAAAGAAGGCAACCAACCTCTTTTCTGTTCTAAGCTAATACCTCAACTCCTCCAACCCTTCCTTCAGGACATGTTTTTGAGTCTGCAAATATTATCTGTTTTTCCTCTAGACACTTTGGCTTCTTCCCAGCCTCTCCTCCTGCAGGGGCTCCTGAGGCCCTCTAATGTCTGCAGAAAGGCCAGGTGGACTGTCCAGAGTAGCACACTGACTGCTGCCCTCAGCCTTACCCCAGGGAAAGCAGCCATTTTCCTAAGGAACCACCAAATGAGAGTTAAGCTTGTGATGCTCTCCTGTCAGTCTTCTTCCTGTGTTTGTGAATAAGCATTGTTCCTCTGACTAAGCTTGGGCAGTCTCACTTTACTGGTTGTTTTGAGCTCAGCTGTTCAGTCCTTATTCTACTCAGTGCAAGCGCCATGCCCGCACTTAACAGTCCCCATCCTGTCTTGTCCATTGGTCACTTCCGGAATTCTGAGTGGGATTCCTGGATCCGAGGCTTGTGCTAGCCACTGCTGACTGAGTCACTGGCAGAGATCGAATGTGTCTGCTTCTTTCCCATTTCTCCTTTACTCATTTGTTCATTTACTTAATGTTTAGTGAGCATCTGCTGAGTACCAGGCCTTCTTTCTTTATCAGTGAACAGGGCAAATAAGGATTACTGATGGGGGCCTTGAGTCTGAGGTGGAGGACAGATTCATAACCTTAGCCCCTTCCTTTCCATACTGGCTGGACAAGGAAAGCCCTTCATACTCCTGCCTAGTCTTCATCTTTCCCCACAATGTGCATTCTTGTCCTGGCTCTCTCTTGGTTGTCTGCACTCCTTGGAATGCCCAACTCTGGCAGAGAGCTTAAACCCCTTCTCTACCCTCTTGTGAGTGAAGTGATGGGGTCACCCATCCAGGATGGGGTCAAGGTAGAAAAGAAATGGTAAGGAAGAGACTTCCCAGTCCAAGTCAGTGGCCTTGACCACAGACGCCACCCTCTGACCCTGTGACCTTCTCTTGAGTGTCCTGAGCACTCAGCTTGCTATGCTTCTATTGGGTGAGGTGGGAGATGGGGGCTGTGCTACTGTCTGGAGGGCACTGTGATTTGCTTTGTGATCCCCATGTGGCTCCAGCTAACCAGAGGCTCCCCTCCCATTCTCAGCATCACTGGCAGGCATGAGGCTGGAGGAAGGTGACATTGCGGTAAGGTGCCTTCTCACACCCATAGGTTCTTTATGCCCTAGGGGACCAGGGTGCTGGGTCTCAGCAGCATTTTTGCTACCAGAGTGTCTGATGGTCCCAAAAGGGAATGGAGGCCCTATCTCCTTAGAAGTCATTGCCCTGTGCTGAGTGTGCAGGACCCCTGCCTGCTTGACAGTGGAAAGTCTAATGGGTGCAGTACAGAGGGTTCGGACATGGGACCACAGGGCTGAGAGCTCCCCAGGTGAGTAGGAAGACATAACCTCTGCTTTTGCATCTAATGGGTCAATCATTCCAGCCCCTGGAACCATTATTTTGATGAGGAAAGTCAGTAATGGGGTCCATGAGATCCTGAATTTGAGGAGCTGACTTATGACACTTATCTAGTATGGGAGGATCAGAAGACATATCTCTGAGGTGAGGGTGAAGTGATGAGGTCAAAGGGAAAATGCAGAGTGCATTGCTGTCAAGGAAGAAGATTTGTAGACAAGCCCACGGCACCTCTACTCTTCTCTGTCCAGGTGAGCCTGGGCACCAGTGACACCTATTCCTGTGGCTCCAGGAGCCCAACCTGCTCTGGAAGGCCACATCTTTTGCAACCCAGTTGACCCCAGCATTACATGGCACTCCTGTGGTAAGCCTGCTGTGGGTTAGCACAATTCCCTAGATGGGTGAAGAGGGTACAGGCAAGTTTGGCACCATCTTGAGTACTTCAAGTCATTCTAGTAAACTGCCTCATAGAGGAAGAGCCCTTGGTTCTTACTGACAGCAGAGCTGTATAACCCAAGACCTGGAGTCCCCCAAAACCCGGGTTCAAATTCCAACCATACCACTGTATCCTATGTGGTGTTGGGCACACCCATGGCATAGCTGAACCATACCTTCCTCATAAAATTGGGGAGTAAGAGTTCACTTTATGTTGTTGTGACATCTGGGTTGTGGTGGTAAATTCTTAATAATCCAAGGAACTTCCTAATTCCGGCAGTTCACAGAAGGCACAGAAGGTTCTGTATTCTGATAACAGGCCTTTGGAGACCCATTAGAAGCTATCTAGAGAGAAGACTCCTGAGCTTTTTTGTCCAGAGAACCACTGAGGAATTTGTATATCTAGCAATCTAGCCATCCCACCCCGTTATACAAATGGTAAAATGTGCAGAAACCCCAGCTCTTGGCCTTCTTTGTGGCAGCCTGTGGCATAAACAGAGCCCAACCCAAGTGCAATTCCAGTGCGTCCCAGGATGCATGTGGGGCCTGGAACCTGACTGGGGGAGCCTCAGATACCTGAGGTTCAGGTTCCCCATGCAGGCTGTGGGCTACCCCATGGGGCTATGGTCTAGTGTGATCTGCAGCCCCTCTGTCTGGGACTCTTTCAAAACTGATGGGTCCAGGCTGGGATGTAGCTCAGTGGCAGAGTGCTTGCCTAATATGTGCAAAGCCCTAAGTTTGGTCACCAGCACTGCCAAACCACAGGTACAGTGCTTAGAGTCGTGTACACTTCTGCAGCTTTAAAAATGGCTCCCTAATGAGAGAGAAGATCCGCGATGTGTCTGCTTCCCGTTCCTGGAGTGAGTTCTCTAAGGCCCTGCGATCCACAGAGATGGGGAATGGTGGAAACCTGGGTAGGTTGTTTAGTGATGCCTGGACCTGTGAAGGGGCAATGACTGCCTGCTAGAGGGGAAGGGCCTGGGTTAACATGAACTGGGGAAAGGAGGACCATGAAGAAGGGAGGGGTGTCTGTCTATACTTCTACTCCACAAGCCTCACAAGCTGGTGTGGGAGCCCATGTTCTGACCCAGGGTGCGGCCATGAGGCTGCTCTTGGCTGTTGATCCAGGTACCAAGTAGAAAGTCAGGTCAGAGCTGTATCTTCTATCTCCTCGAAGCCCCTGGTGACAGCATCAGAGATGGCAGCAATAATACTCCTCTATCCTGATGCTTCCTTATGCACAACTTTCTGCCCCAGACACAAGGTTTTGTTAGGAAAAGTACCCAGCACCAGACGGGCCTGAGCAGACCTGGGTTGATATTTTAGGATTGGTAGAGCAACTGCTTCCATGCCTGTGGAGTAGGAAGAGTTGCCTCTAAGAAAATCTGGCCCAAGCCTTTCCAGGTCCCTTGTGTCCTGTTGGAGAGAAAGAAATGAGTCTATTCACAGGGCTTCTCTGGGGGGATGATAGGAGGCCTGGGAAACAGATGTAAGTAACTTCACTTTGCTCTTTTCTCAGTCTGCAGAGAAGCTGTTCTTTGTTTTTGACACCTGACAGCTAATATCTTCCTGGTTTTGTTTCAGGCTTTTATTTTGATGTTATGGAGATTACCCCTGAGATTATTGGGCATCATAGATTTAATCCAGAAAGCCATGAGGTACGTATGTTTTTGGTATTGGAGATATATTGACTGCATTGAGCATTTAACAGTTGCCTATCAAATTATCCTGCTTTTAGGGACTTCACTCATCCACTGGTGAAACAAACACTTTGAATATGCCAGGGTTCATTCTAGGGGCTGGGGAGTCAGCAGGGTCTAAGATGCCTTCCTTTCTCCAGGAGCTAATGTCTGCTTCCTGTGTATCACAGAGTTTATTCCTTGATGCTTGCATCTAACAACATCTCTCAGACCTTGAGGTCAAGAGTTTCTTGCTGGTGGAAAGAGCCTCTGGGACCAGGAGACACTGGCATTTATTGAACGCTGTTTGGTACCAGGCACTGGGCTCATGGCTTTCTGCTCATTGCTTTTCTTTATTTGCTTCTCAAAGCAATCCTGCAAGGTAGGCATGATTAGCCCCTTTTACAGATGGAGAAATTAAGGCTCAGACTTAATGTCTTGCCCAAAGTCATAATATCACAAGTGGCAGAGCAGGCTCAAACCCCAATCTTCTCTGGCTCGTAGCTGTTGTTCTTTTACTCTTACACCACATGGCCCTTCCCAGGAGATCCAGTCAATTCTTGGGCTTGGAATTTGACTTTCTAAAAGTTATTACAGAGTTGTCACCACATTTTGGTTTGAACTGAGAGATGTTTGTGAACCCCAGTGAATGTTAGGGAGCTTCTGCAAGATGCTCTGTCTGGTCACTGTAGCAGTCAGGTTGGCCTTGCATTAGATGGTTAGTGGTGGCATTGCATATATAGGGTTTAAATAGAACATTTTGGATAAAGTGTAGGGAGTTCATTTTGGTTCTCAGATGAAGTCAGTTAGGTTTCAGTCTGGAGAGAGATCTGCTCTTTTTTATGTATATCAGTCTAGGTTTATCAGGGAGAAGGTAGTGTTCTTCATTTATTCATTCCCAGTAGATAGATATGATTGGTATCAGGCACTGGGACACAAAGGAGAGCAAGACACAAGTGGTCCCTGCTCTGTGGAGCCCAGACTCCAGAGGAAGATGGACAGAAAGCAAGTGAATGAACCCATATGGGACAACAGTGTGATATGGCTGGGAAAGGAGAGAACCAAGTGCTATAGGAAGGAATAGTATATGGGCGGGGGTCTTGTCTAAGTGGGATGACCAATGTGGACCTCTCAGAGAAAGGGCCTTTGGCTGACACCTGAAGAAGGATGGGAAGGATCTCACCATGGGAAGCATGGGACAGGCTTCCAGGTGAGGAAATAATTTACCTACCTGCAAGTAGATAAAAAGGTTAGCGCATAGGAGCTGCTACTGGAGTAGCAGGTACTAGCCTTGATTTTAGGTACTGGAGAAGCAGGGCCTTCCTGGGGGGTGACACCTATCAGTGGTAGCTTGAAGGACACCTCATAGCAGTGAGTTCTCAGCATAGGCTCGTGGCTGTCACTTATCAAGTATCAACTCTATATTCCAGGCTCTGTCATCTAATTTGGTCATTATGACAACCTTAAAAAATAGGTGCTGCTATTACTTCTGTTTTGTTAAGGAAGATAATATCGCTCAGCAATGTAGTCAGTGTCATAGACCTGAATATTAAAGTTAGAACTTGAACCCTCGGCTGCTTGAGACTGAGTGCCATTATCCCTCTAAACCTTTCCTCCTCCCCTGCAAAGTAGTAAAAATGAGGCTGTAAATTTGTGGTTATGACTGACATGTTGAGAGTATGTGTGATAGCTCTGAGTTCCAGATATGGGCTGTTGTGGAAAAAGATCACTCACACACAGAAACGAACAACGAGACTTCCTCACTCTGTGCCTATCTTCTGGAGACAGGTCTCGGCATTCCCCAGGGATGTGGAGATTCGAGCATTGATTGAAGGACAATTCATGGCCAAGAGGATTCATGCAGAAGGCCTTGGCTATCGAGTCAGTAAGTGAGCGGCTGGCAGGGTGTATTCTGGGTTAAGAGCCCAAGCTAGGGGGCAGTGTCTTAAGGTTGTAGTACAGGGAACTTGGGGCAGGCAGAAGATGGAGCTTGGTCCTGGTGGTGGGGCAAGAAAGTAAGTCAACTTGGCACCTGTGGGCAGGTGTGGAAGGGGAGGGAGGGTGTCTAATTTTCAGCTCTGCCCCCATCACCTGATCTCTTGGCTAGAAGTTATAGGACTTGAGAGAGGTCTTCCTGTAACCCTGAGCTCTTAGCCACAGAGTAAACATTCTGAACTCTGGACCCTGAGGTTATGGGCAGAGAGAGAGGGCAGTGGTCTGGGGCCATGACTAGACTGGGAAGAGTGAAGATGCAGCACCACTGTCTCAACTCAGAGTACTGACACAGAGAGGGCACAGACCAAGACACAGTGGGAGGCAAATAGGAAGAAAAAGGGATTCCTGAGAACTTGAGCTATGGAACATGTAGCTCCAGGAGACCAGTGGTTCTACTGATTGTGTTGGACTACTCTGGGGTCTGCAAGGAGGCTGGATCAGCCAATCCTAGAGTCCAGCTTCTGAGATGTATTTGTCCCTCTCAGCAGCAGCTATTGTCACTGGCAAAGGTTGAAAATGTGTGACGCTTCTTTGCCTGAGGTGCCTCTTAAATAGCCTTTTAAATGGGTAGTTCACATTCTACATAGGGTATATTTTTTACATCTTTGAACCAACCATGTGAAAGGACACTATAAAAAGCATGGGGTAAATATCTTGGAAAACCTGTTAGACACCATCTATTGAAGCTGAAAATATAGCTTGCCAGCAGTCTTACTTCTGCTTAAATACACAGCGGAAATGTATACATGTGTTCACATGAGAACATTCATTGTGGTCTGTGCTTAATAGCTCCACAATGGAAGCAATCTGGTGCCTGTCAATAGCAGACAGGATAAA